ATTGAATAGCAACAAGAACGTGCTTATACATTGTCAAGCAGGTATATCAAGATCACCAACAATTACTATTGCATATTTAATGACATATCATGCATGCGAATTTAAAACAATGAACGAAGCATATATATATGTGAAAACAAAACGATCGATTATATCACCAAATCTTGCATTCCTAACACAATTACTTCTCTACGAAAAAAAGCTTTTGGAAATATCAACAAAAGAATTGTAAATATTTAATTTTTGAATCATTTTTGATTTAAAATTCGCCCATGGAACTTGAAATGTTAAGCTCCTCTAGGGCAAATTCAAATAGGATTTTTTCAAGGGAGAAACTGCGGACTTTAGAAGTATATTTACTACAGTTTACATATAAAAGTTTGTACAAATGTAGCAACTGGCAAAAAGTTTTATGATTTTTCTGAGGCTTTCAAATTCAAACAAATAGTCAAAGAGCCTACGAGAGTTAGCAAACATGGCATAACAAAAACAGTACTTGACGTGGTGGATTCACTAGTTCTGCTATCTTCATAAAAAGCGTAGAAGTTAAGGACGTTTTGTGCGAAAATTGTGACCATAAGATTGTAAGAGTTGTGCTTGTAACTGATACGACTCGATCGCCACCAATGCGCTAGTGAAACTTATAACTACTCTGCTACTGACGGGAACTACTTTCATCACGAATTAGTAACACTGCTTAATACTATTACAATTCTTTTCTACAACTCAACCTGTGTGAATGAACTGCGGACTTTATAGACCTGAGCGGACTTTAAAGTCCTCTAAAACCTTTTAAAGTCTTCAAAGTCCACGACTTGACAGGGCTTTGGGGACTTTTAAGTGTGGTAAAGTCTCTGTAAATCCGATCGAGACCTCCCAAGTCCGCTCAAGTCTAAAGTCCGAAACCCATATTCTTTTGAACGTTTTTAGCTTATTTTGACTTTCTCTAGGACAAAGTAAAATTTTAATTTCTCCTATAGGAGAACAAATATATCACTATTTCCGTTTCCTCTTAGGGAACATTGAAAGAAATATTATATCAAGTATAGAATGGAAAACATCTCTCCTTCAACATATATATCATTCGATTCGCTTTCTGACGCTGATTCCGAATATGATATTTTCATTGCGTGAAAGTTCAGTTCTGATGGAGAAAATTGCGAATTAGGGTCAGAATTTTGATTTTCCCCAGTAGAATCTACTTTTCGCAGGAATGAAAACGAATTTTGAAAAACAGAGAACGTACTTCTATTCTATGTGTCAAGGCGCTTCCAATTGCAGAAGAACGAAGGCTCTATTTTGAATCCCAAGGACGAGCTAGGTTTGCAAGAGAACCCCCTCGCAGTTTGAGACCCTTGTATAAAAAATTTCGTCCAAAATCGCAGTGTAGGGTTGGATTCGTAGAATGTAATGCTCTGTTTTCAGCTTTTCACGCTGATTTCAAATAGCACCTCGTTGGCCTTCGAAAGTTCTTGCGGACTGAGATATTGCATTTTTTTTTTGAAAAGTTGTGATTTTTCAAAAAAAGAGCACCTCACAATGTTTTAAATTTTTCTCCACGAAGAAGTGGACTAGAGAGGCTAAAAAGGACATATTCGTGGTCCTTAGCTTCTGGACTATCCAGTTATGTGTATTTGAATTAAAAATAAAATGGTGTGGAAACTTCGAGTTTTTCACGAGAAAAGATGAAGTTCATGCGGAGAAACGCCCAGCTGTTCACGAGAAGATACGAAGTTCTGGTAGGCAAACATCGACTCTTTGACGAGAAAAGCTGAAGTTGTCGTGGAGAAAGGTCGAGTTGTTCAGGGGAAAAGGTGCAGTTCTCATGCAAAAAGATCGGGTTTTCAACACAAACATCCAGTTTCGCACGAGAGAAGAAGGAGTTCGTATTAAGAAACGTCGAGGTTTTCACCGGAAAAAATGAAGTTTTTGTCCAGTTCTTCATGAGAAGAGATCAAGTTCTTGTGGGCAAACATCGAGTGTTTCAACAGAACAGATGAAGCTCTTGTGCACAAACGTCGAGTTTTTCACCAAAAATACGAAGTTCGTGTGGACAAACATCGAGTTTTCCACGAGAAAAGAACAAGTTCGTGTCAGGAAACCTCGAGGGTTTTCACCGGAAAAGATGAAGTTTTGGGGAAGAAACAGCAAGTTTTACACGAGGAAAGATGAAGTTCTTGTGGGCAAACATCGAGTGTTTACCAGAAACGGATATCTGCAATGTCAACAAATGCAGAAGCTCGATCGGGTTTGGCAAAATCTCGGTTACATCATCAATATCAGATCAGATGAGCACAAATTCTTGAAGATTTTTCATTTTTCGGCTATATTCACTACTCAGTATCGACCGGAATATTTGAATTGCATCCCTAACATGCTCATCACTCAGCTTTAAGCTTATTATCCAATGACAATAGAGTTTTAGGTTTTGACAATGTTGTTCAATTGTATCTGGTAACACGGCATGGTTAGATCGATGGACAGTCTAAGCTGAAGGATAATGCGCATTAGACGATAGTTTAATCCACTAAATGACTGGATGATTTCAACTAACGTCATGTAGTCGAAGAACTCTCGTCATTCATTTGAACAGTCTTAAAAACCTGCGGTTTTTAGATTCTAAAACTAGACATTTTAGGCAACTAAATTTACCATCAAAATCACAGATGATTGAGAGTGGTCTTTTCAACTGTAGCTGGGAATATCGATGTTTTTAATTGTCAAAATTCACCTTCCGCCAAAACTTATCCAACCCTTGAGTTATTACACACATATACCCTTGAATGTGTCCTCTGCAAACTGGCAAAGTTTGAGTGTATGTTAGATCCGCCTTAAAACTGAAAAACCCAGTTTTGGACTATTTTACGGTTTTTTCACGACAAAAAAACAGATGTCAAGCAGTGCATGGCTCAAACAATACTTGACAGTCAAACACGTCTGAGTCAAGCGTGCTTGATTCGTCGCATGCCTATATGTATATGTCACAGAAAACATTAGAATTGAGATCTCGATAAAACTGAAATTCTAGTAAATTTAACTCAGCGAATTTTTCGAATAAAACATTCTGAATTAAAAATAAATTTAATTTTTTTATAATTTTCAGATTAGCTGTTTAGTTACTTTTATACTTTTACATGTCTTTCTGAGAAATTATGGCAACAACAAGTATGGAGAGTCGAATTTTGTTCCAGTCAAAAATCGAACTGAAAAGTGGAAAATATAAAGAAATAGGTGAGAAATATTATGAGAACTATGAAAAATTAATTGAAATTATGAAAAGAAATTTAATTACTGCAACAGAAACATCTATTATCGGGAGAAATCCTCACTGGTAGACAGACATATGTCGAATGAAACAAAACGCATTCTTAAACGAAAACTACAGTATGATGACGATACGGAAAGTACTCGAAGATCATCTGCTTCTGAAAATTCATCGTCAGTCATATTCTGTGAATTGCAAGCAATAAATCAATCCGAAAAAATACATTTTCACATTGGCAACTAAATTTACCATCAAAATCAGGATGATTGAGAATGGCTTTTTCAACTGTAAGGTTGGTGATCTTATATGCATCTATTGCAATCTTATCTGCGAACAATGGATCATAACCGACGATCCAAGTGAAGTCTATAAAATATTATAAATCACTGAACAATGACAAAACGATATACATGTCGAATAACTTTTAAAATCTCAGCTTGCTGGAAAATGCCTGTAAACTATTTCGTAGAGGAAAGAAATTTCACAATAGTTTGTTCTTGCTCATCATTAGACATCATACATTAGGGACGGGTAGGGGATGAGCGAAAAGAAACAAACAGTCGAATGAACAATCAGCGCCATGACAGTGACAGAGGTGGAGGGCACTAGAGACCAAAATCTCTTGTGTTTTTCAGAACTTCCTTTAAGTACGGATCCGCACTCATTTTCTATATATTTTTTCTGTCTTACCATGCACGCATTATAGTAATATTGATCGAAATTATTATCTTTTCTCCAAATACACATGGATTATAATCACGAACGAAGCAATTAGTCAAGGTATTTAACAGAGAATATTTTCACTTTTAGTATCGAGAAATTTCATATAACTCCGTTTAAGGATTTATCCTCAGAAAAATTCAAAGAATGCTACTAAAAATACAGGTAGATGGCAATGATTTCTGCTGCCGAAAGAAGCGATGAATTCATTGCTTTAAGACGTAAAAATAGCCGTTAAAAATTTTGTAACAAACTCCTGTTTTTAGACATGATTACTTACAGGTGGATTACTGTCCTTCAACAGCTTTCTTTCGACCAGTTTACAATCAATGGTGGGTAAGTACGGCTTCAGTTTTTTGCTCTTTGGTGTGAGCTCTCGCCTTAACAGACCGGGGTCGTCTCTGCTGTCTCTTTCTGTTACTTAGCCAGTAGGTTGGAGCACTGCTGATCGAGATCGAGTGCCTCATAAGTAGGACACACCTAAGTTAAAATATCGTTTTGTTTGACACAGGAGAGGAATAGGGAACACTGTTTTTTTGAAAATATTATTTGGTGAACAGCAAATAAGGACTTGAAAATGTGAAGTTTATTATAAATAATCGACATGATCGAGATTTGTTGAAAGCCGATGAAGCAATTACTGATCAAACACTATTGACTCAAGAAAAAATTATTGATATCAGTCTTATTCGAATATTAGGTCCACTGGTAACTCCAGTACATCTGACAAACAAATTCCAGTTTGGATTGTATCAAGTTCTTTCTGATACTCACAAAGTGTTGAATGATCAGGCGGGAATATGTGAGAGGCGATATCGACGGTTTGTTGGAGCTGTTGTAGAGCGTTCTTGATACGACGAAGCGTGGATAAAGTGGAGTACAAACTATAGTGAGCTAATGCGAGATTTCGATGATGCGATGGGAGTTAGCTTTTTTGAATGCTCAGAGCTGTCATCTGGTTATCAAGAGCTGCGGAATAGTGTCCCAATGCATAGTGTGATGTGCCAATGTTAGCATATGTTTTTCCGAGTTCGGGATGCGTGAACGGAAGTTGTTCACTTTGGATGTGTAACGCTATTTCATGACTTGCCAGTGCTTCGGCGAAGCGATCTTGCAGCGTGGAAGACACTGCCAATATGTGTTTGGCAGCAATGAGCTCGGGCTCAGAATCTTGTCGTTTCAAAAGAATTTCGAGGGCGCGTTGATGATGTTTTAATGCTTCATCAAGATGTCCTTTTGTTTCAAGAACACAGCCTATGTTCGAGTAGGTGGCAGCCAGTGCGTGATCATCAGGCGACCAGACAGTTAGCGCGAGGCTAAGTCCTTGTCGAAAGTGAAAGAGAGCAACGTCCCCGTTTTCCATGTCATTGTACGCCAGTCTTAGCAGTGGATGAATGATCATTTCCTCTTTACCGCTGTTTTTCAGAAGTATCTTCAAAATATTTAATGCCTGGTCACTTAGGCCCATTTTCAGCATTAACTGGGGGATCCGATATCTCGTGGGCCCTGGAATTTCTTTACGCATGCGTTCAGTTAGTCGTCGAAGTTGCGGATCATTATCCGCTGTTAGTTTCAATTTTATCTGCCAGATTCCATTTTCTATTTGCCGGATTTCTCCAATACGAAACACTGAATACATGTAGAAAAGAATTTCGTGTTCTGATGTAAAATAGCTGTGATTGGTAAGTGATGCGAAAAGAGTGGAGGAAACTGATGAATCGACGTCGATTTTAAATAAGGTGCTCAAGCAATCAATATTCGGAAGAACTGGCATCATCCGGAAATCGCCGTCGCCGCGGATTCTTATATGTTAAAGTGTTAAAGTGTAAAAGGATAAACGTGCATAATTGAGGGTGAAGAGGTGAGGATGAGCGTGGAGCACTTCTTCACCCACTTCACTCTCACTTCTCCACCCTCACCCTCACTCGCCGCGAGTTCGTATATGTTAAAGTGTTAAAGTGTTAACGCTAAAGTGTTAACACTTTAACACTGAATCCGCGGCGACGGCGATTTTCGGATGTTATGCCACCTGGAGACTTTCTGAGATTGTCAAAATCGGCACTTGCCATGCTGTAATAAAGGTGACGTTTAACGACAAATAACTAGATTCGACTATGCTGATTACTAATATTAGAACTATTAAATATTAGAAAGCTTGAAGATGTTACTGTTCTACTATAACTGTAAAAAGAAATCCTTTTGAATTTCACCTGACTGGGTGGACAAACCACCGGCTAATGCCTACGACAGAATTTCAAACTTGGGACGCAGGACTCATCTTCCCAGGATACGAGCAAACCTTTCGGAATATATCACCGTGTTAGTTAGATCAGTTCAGATTTCTAGGGGCTTCTTTTTCTTCGTCTTTCTTTTTCTGCTTCGGCTAATCTTTTTGTTTTAATAAATCCTCAATTGAGGACGCCGAATATTGTTGTTCTGATTTTAAGCACGCAGTAGAAAATGTAGATGAAGGTGAAAAATGGTCCGAAGAAATTTCAATATTAGCATCAGACATTTTAACAGGAATTTAATTTAAATTTATTATAGGTGTGAAACGTAAGAGAATTAACTCGGAGATAAAGTAGATAAACAAGTCTTATAACTTTGTTTTACATAATCAAGAGTTTAATCAATGACAATCCTCACTTTTTCCCAGATAGTTTCACACTGTAAAACTCCCATATCAAAACGACATCTATGGCTGAAATGCTAAGTTATGAATAAAAATACGCAAATTTCCCAGGCTAGGCCGCATGGTGTTTTCAAAGGTATGCCTGAATCTATTTCAGTCTAGGCCTGGTCTACCTTAGCCTGCTGTAGGCCGATAATTTGTAGCCTGTCCTGCCTCTAACAGGCAGCCAGGCTGCCTAGCCTGGCTCGAGTCCAGTTTTTTGTACTATGACGATATAGGAAAGATTTCCAGCGAAAAATATCGTGAATGAATGCTACTTGTTAAATAGGTCTATAACTTCATTCACAGTAGATCTCAAAACGAATCGTATTGTTGTAAAGTCTAATATCTACTAACAACTGTATCTAGAAGCATCTAACGTATTCATAAATAAGAAAAAGGAAACTGGGTTCGATACATATAATAATAAAAATGTATTTTTTAGTATAGACGATTATCTTAGTACAAGCATTATACTCTTTCGGAAAATATAACAGATGTGTTTCTTTGACGTATTTTCAGACAGAAAAACAAATGAAAACGAAAGAAATGAAAAAGAAAAATGACCTTCTTCGATCATTACCAGCAGAGAGAAGAAGAAGAAAAGAAAACTTACGACGTTTAGTACTTTATTAAATAAATAGAAAGAAAAGGCATCATATGGTTTTCCTGAGTAGACCAAGAACAAACACTAACATAATAACAAACGGAGATGCACTACGAATCAGCGGAAGATAAAACTTCAATGATAAATGAAAATAATCCAGATACACAACTGCCATCATTGAAACAAAATGTTGAAATACAACGTATACGAAGAAGGTTATTTGTATTAATTATGATTCAATTGGTAAGTTTCGAATTAGACTCAATTT